TAGCACAATGATTAGCACAAATTGAAAAGCCTCTGCAAATAAACAGCTGACATGACAGCAATGTCTGGAGAAAGTCATTGGTGAAATTCAGCTATCCAAGCAACTCCAGATATCAAGTCCTACTACTGTTTAGTGGAATGCTTTGCTCCATTGCATCAGATTATAGAAATTAAAGGAAAATTCACAGACCTCATGGGATTTCTATGTGATCATTCAAGGATGCCTTTCATGGGAAGAACATTCTGCAAGTTTAGAATATTTAAAGGACATTTTAGGTGAGATGGGAAGTTGCACACTGAGAAAGATGCTGTTTCACATGACTGATCCAGTTGCAGTGCTAAACAGAAATCTGAAGCAAAGCTTTGCTCTCCTCTCTAGCTACAGGTACAGCTTTTGTTCCTAGGATGAGTTTAAACAAACCAGGAAAGCAAGTGATGAAAAACAATTGGACTTTCATCTTAAAATACGCTTTGTTAAATTGTTTAAGAAATCATTTCAATTTTAGCACATTCATTTATCCTCATCTCCCCCATCAGAAACACTAGAGTAAGGAATTATGATCACTGGTGACCCAAGGTGACAAGGTAGGACTGCTGTGGCTTACCCAAAGTTAAAAACTTTTGAGACTTCATTGCTGTAGGCAAACAGTTACTACTGTCTGTGTTCCCCTCTGTGAGGAACCTGGGAGTTTCAGGGCTTGTATGCACCTACATAAATTAGGGATGCTCCATGTTTCCTACCTCCCAATGCAAAATCCCACCCCTCTTCTATGACGTTTTCCCAGGATACTCCAGGCTACATCTCTGCTCACTTGAAATCAGCTGCAAAGCCCTCTGTGGACAACAGTGACTACCCTAAAATGCTGCGCATGGAATTGAAGAAGCAAGGTATACCTGAGCCAGGCCACAGGAACTAAGTTTAAGTCTTGACAGAGACAACTAGCTCCAAAATAATTCCATCCACAACATCGACAGCATAAAGTACAGTAATGAAAAGCCAGCAAGGGTCCAGTTAAGCATAACACCACCTGGAAGGGCCAGGTTCTCCTATAAAGCTGTGTTTAGCACACACAGGGGATGTTTCACTCCTGAGCCTCTCCGAGGTGATTCCTGCAACATCTGGATCGCTCTGCCAACCGATTCCTTGGTTTGCTGGCTAAGGGAGAATAGAGGGAACGGTACCCTTGTAGGTTGCCAGTTGTGAATGATCTTTTACGATAGTCTCAAATGTAACCGTGGCTGGAATTAACTCGGAGGTTAAGAGCATGATTCACGGATTTAGAAGGATGGGCTTGGGACAGCATGGGAGTTGTAGCTTAAATCTCAAGTGATCGGTATGAGCTGCTTCGAACTACTTCGCAGCTAAAATAAATTTCTGGCAGCTACTTAGATTCATATTTCAGATTACAAATCATACAATAAAGACCTGAACAATTCAGGCATGTGGAAAAACTCATTCACGGTGAACAAAGCAATCTAAGCTTTGCCCTCCCATACGTCATGTAACTGTGCACGCAACAGCCGCACTCCTACAATGTGAGTGTTTTAGACTTCATTGTGGCATTAGTGGGAGACTGAAAAGGGAAAGTACCACTGAGCACCAGCCTCAACTTTTTTTACTATCCCTTAAAATACACGTCAATTCTTTGTGGGCTCTGCATACACACCAAGAAACCCCAGCTGCTCTCCAGACAGTAGAATAAATAGGTAAAGATAGGAAGGGAAGAAAGAGAAAATGCAACACTGTATACTGCAATAAAAGGCACCTTAAAGGATCTGTACAGTGCCAAATGATGCATAATATGAAAGAAAGGCACCTCCTGTCACCATCAGGTGCATGCTAACTGTACTACCTGGCTGCAGAGACAAGCTCGAGGCTTAGAGACAGTTCTGTGATACTTTCACACCCCACTATGAACACTGGTACCAGAAAACAAGGCTAAAGGGTTCTAAAAAAGACAGAAACTGCTATAAGAAACAGTCTGAAATAAATAAGCTATTTTTTTTTTTCCCCCCTTGAAAAAGGAGATAAAAGAGACTCCACTTGAAAAATGAAATAGGAGCAAGTACACTGCAGGAAAGTTAGGAATGCAATATGCAGCTGAACTGCGCCTTAAATTTGTTTTAATAAAATTCGAGATGAGAAGCCACAACTGCAATCAGAAATATACACTGCTAAGAACTGCACGAACAGCCCGAAAGCAAACATTCCAGCATCACATATTTTACTGTCTGTAATCAGGATGTGTTGACACCTCAGACATAGACTAGCAGTCCACCAACGAGCTGATGCACGGGGTAGCGTGGCTGCAATTAAATGGCTCCACAGCTCACAAGTTCACAGACGCTTATAGGGGGTTTGTGACATATTCTGTTTGGAGTCTGCTAACCTGGGAAACCTGCAGCCTGCTCCATCGTGCAGTGTGGATGTGGCCCAAGTAAACGAAATGTAGAACCATTTCCACCTCATTGATGAAGCCGTGAAACAGAAAAACAATTAATCTGCCTGGGGAAATGCAGGGACTCCAAGTCAGAGCTGGGAATTCAAGGTTCCCTGAGCCCCAGTCCAGGGACTGAATAACTTACCCGGCTTTCCTTTCCTTCTCATGACTAGGTGAAAGGAGTCAAGTGGTGTGATACATCAAAATTGTGCTGCTGAAGGAACACTCATTTCCAACACGGTTTGTTATATCCACAGTGCCAAAAGAAGGGTAAGCATCAATGGCACAGATCTGTTACCTAGGACATTCACTTTTGAATCTATTAATTAAACCTGCACACCCTACAGTTTGGTTTCTAAAAATCATTTCCCCTCTGATATCAGGAATCTAAACATGACCCAATTAGCACACACTTTTTGCTTTGGTTCAAGTAGGTGGAATCACCATTTATTTTTAACCTGAAATACTGTGACAGATCCCTACTTACAGTTCTGGACACCTGATGGCAAGGTTTCATTTTATGGCCTTAGACCTGAGTGGACATGAAAAATGAAATATTAAGCAAAGTGACTATCAGTTTGCCTAAATTTTTAAGGTACAAGACATTTCACAATAGGGACTCCCTACTGTCACTGGCACTGCAAAGCAAGACAGAAGAAAACCTGCGTGGCTGGAGAAGAACAAGGTAGTGCACAACACAGCAAGGCGAAGCAGAGTGAAGTGAGAATGACAGGCACTACAGCACAGGTCCCGTGAGGCTGAAATTCAAACATCGTGTGCCTAAGAAGAACATTCAGGCAAGAAAGAAAAACCTAGCTCTGGTCCATTCAGTAGCCAAAACAATTGCCTGCAACACTGCAAGCAAGTAGGCCAATAGAAGTTTGGTGTTTTGGGGTCCTCACATCTGCTTTTAGTCCATTGGTGTTTCAGGGCAATGTTGACTATTGCAAAACCAAAATCTTGGGCTGGTGAAAGCAAAGCTTTTGTCAGGTTCAGATCCCCATTTGTTCTGAATCACAAATGTGCTGCATATTTTCTCTTGTCTCTCCTTAACAACTGCTCTTGACACTGTCAAGGAGAGACCCACCAACACCTCCCAGGTGCACACAAAGCATGGCAGAAATCTAGGTGGGCACTCAACTCTTCCAAGGGTGCCTCTCCTTTCAAAAACACACCTGTAGGAGACTAAATAGCAAGGCAAGACCTGAGGCTGGGAAAACGCAGCTGAACCATGCTCTCACCCAGACATCTCTCATAAATACACTCCTATTCTTGCGTTCATCCTCTATCTCAGAAATCAAACTCCCTTTTGGACAGCATTTCAGTGCTCTGAGTTGTCCTGTCCAGAAAAGGTCCTTCTTCTTTACATTCCTAAGTTACTGGGAATTTACCACCACTCCTTGTCAGGCGCGCAAAACATCTGCCTTTAAAACAAAGCCCTGGGCACAGTTACCTGGTCCCTGGGCTTCTTCGCTGCCAAGATAAGTCAGAGCCTGGGTTCCCATGAGGAACCTTCCTGAAAAAGCAAAACCAAGGTCGGTTTGCAGCTTGCCAGGTTCCAGTAATAGCAGAGGACATGGACACGAGCCCTTGTTGCATACTCTCAAAGCTCCTCTCATCACCATCTCCCTGTGCTGACCTCTGCCAGGGCAAACTGGCAGAACAACCTGCAAGCTCTAGACAAGCACAGCCAAATATATTTGAAGATTCAGAGCCTATTTTCATGTATTATAAGAAATCACTTGCCTGCAGCTGCTTCCTTCGTGTCATATTTTCATTTCAGCTGGTGTTATTTGCATTTTATAGCTTCATAGTTGAATAAATTTAGTTAAAAATTTATTAACAGGCCTTGCTTCTATTTCTAGTTACCCTCCAGAAACATGTTAGGGAGCTGCAGCCAAAAAAGCCCGTACATGAATCTCAAAGCCAGATCTAATGTATAAGGTCAATTCCATTTCTACAGGAAATCAAACCCAGGCACTCAGTAACTCTGGATGTAGAGCCAGGTTTTGAACACCCGGATCCAGGGTCTTTAGATCCAGTTTTACCTCTCCATAGCAGGCTGGATGGAAATGTTGTGTTCAGGAAATGTTGGCTAGTTTGCATTCCTCTCCTGTTACACCAATTCCCAGAGCTCTCTCCCAGGATTTGACTCACGGTTTCGGATGCTATGCACTACACTAAATATTACAGCTTTCTCTTCCAAAACAATTAAGGTTTATGATTGCCTTGCTGATCAGCAACAGCAGGAGACACCTCTGCTGACAAAATCAACCTTTCAATTGTAATTATTCATATATAATTACACTGCCAAATGAGGCCCAGATAAAAAGGGTTCTTCTGTGGTAGGTGCTATCAAGTGAAAGTGTGGGCTTCTCTGACATCCCAGCCACGCAAAAACACTCATTTTCTTTCTCTCAAAACCTGCACGCATAGTTCCTGCAGGAATGGAGCGAGAGGCTATCTCAATGACTTTTAAAAAGAAGAGATTAATAATAATTAATAATAGTCTGAGAGGAAATGAAAGCAAGACTAGGGATGGATCCCTATCCCACAGTACCTTACTAATGGAGTTTGGAGTCTGTGGTGTCTCATCCTTCAGCGCTGATGGGCTATTTCCTTCCACATCTTTTCCTGCAACAAATAAATATGATTCAGAAACAGAGGAATTCTTTGCAAAACTGTGGCCTTAGAAGGGATACTGGTAAGAGCAAGCAAGAGAAGCTGTGATAAGCAGGAGCAGGCACACCAGGGTTACACAGAAGGATCTTGCAGAGCTTGCAATAGCCTGGATCCACATGCTTGGGCTATGCAACAAGTACCGCTTAAAAGTTAGGTCTGAAAACACTGTGCTAAACCAACATGATGGTTGCAAAGTCCAGCGTATGAGGGCTGGAAAAAAAAACAGAAATAAGGTTGCTTCTGCATTTTTAATCAGCTCCCTTCTGCGTCTGCATTATGATGCAGTCTTTAATTACATTACCACAGTCTGTTCTTTTCTTACATACCCCATGCCTCATTCAATGCACATAATAAAGGGAATTCAGTTAATAAGCAGCTATTCAACACATTTTCCTCCTGGTCAGTATCTGGCAACTATTCACAGATGCACTTGATAGCACGCTTTGTTTGACAAATAACAACCATGATCATAAAACGTTACAGAAGACAGAACAGAATTTAGACATAATTAGTAACACGAAATAAAAAAAAACACCACCTGCAGAAGATCAATATCTTCTGACCAAGTTATTTGTTGAAATAGGAAACATTTCCAATTAGCAAGTAGTACTTATGAACACTGTGACATTTTCCAATCATTGTAGAGATATATTTCCACTACTCAAATAAACTTGCAGTACATTATACACATTATATACTAGTATGAGCGTGTGTAGTCCTAGTCCAAGCAATACAATGTAATGATAAATTCTGTTATTTTTGCCAACTGTAATCACATCCTTACAGTAAAAGAAAGCATAGACCTGTTAAAAAAGGCAAAAACCAGCATCTGATGAGACTAGCTTTTTAGTGCCAAGACAGCCATTGTTATCCAATTGCACTGTAGTTTCCTTCTCAAAATTGTTCGCAATCAGAGTTTCAGAATACTGGATGCACTAAAGAAGCACCAAGACAGTGAAATAGAATCCATTTGTAGCACGCTGCAAGCATGAGAACTGTTAAAAATGTTTTTAAACATTGTGTGGACCAGTCTTGGAAACACTACCAAATCCAAAACCAGCAAGGGAAAATCCCAATTCTCCTGAGGTCAGCAGAAGTTGTTACAGATGTGTTGGAAGCCATAATGTCTCCTGGAATTTTCAGAGCAGCCATTTAAGAAGCCAAGCACCATTAGAAAAGCCAGCCACAGAAGCTTACTGAAAAATAAATATCCTCATGGCCATGTTCTGCACTTCCATCACGGGACGTGTGAGAGAACAAGCACGTCCCATTACAACCGAAACTGCAACTGTGCTACAGGGTTTCACTGGTAAAGAGACAGGACAAAACCCACGCCCTTTTCACAGGCAGGAACAGGCAGTTTGGTGCATCAGCTCCTAAGTTTAAGAAAATGCTTTGTGGGACAACTGTCCCTAGAAGGTGTTCAGCTTTCCACGTGGTGCCGAAGGGTGGTGGGAGTTCCAGTCGCGTTTCTCACCCTGTGGCACAGTGTCGCGCTGTCCCACACGCACGCAGCCGCGCTGGCACAGAAAGCCAACGCTTCCAAGCCTCAGAGAAGTGGGACAGCACGTGCGGTGCTCACATGGGGAACTGAAGCTGAGGAAGGACCCGCACAGTCACGCAGGAAGGCGGTGCAATAACAGGGAACCTGCATCTAACCTGTTTTTTTTAACTGTCACTCCTCTCCTTGTGACACCAAGCCCTAGATAAGGCGCTCAGAAACCTATTCTCCACAGGCAGGAGAAAATCCCAAGTGGCTGGATATTTGCCAGTCGCCTTGTGCTACCATGACAAGTGGGATGGTCACAAGCACTACTGTGCATGGATTAGGACCTGCATCTCCATCCTTTTCCTTTCTCTGATGGCTCTTTCCTCTCTGTAGCCCCCACTCTCCCTGACGGAGGCCAAGGAGGTTGGAATAAACTCGCAAAGCCATGTAGCTGCTTCACTTGTTTCCCATTAAGACGTTTTCTGCGCATGTGTGGGAAAGTAACATATGGTCTAAAGTTCCTATTAACTTTACTGTTAATAGGAATCAGCTGCTGCGTGCTCCAAGGGAACAGCATCTATTAGCATAACAGAATTCACATCCATTCTTTATTATGTCTCATTTCTTAAAGAAAGCTTAACTCCAAGCTGGTGTCCATACAAAGAGCCTGGACGTGAGATTTCTGCCTTCTCTCAGTGACACAGACAAAGGGGTTTGCAGCTGAACAACAAGATTTTTGGTGCTCCTGAGGTTCTGGGCCATCCTGCTCACAGGGTATTATGAAAAATGGGAACATGCAACATGTTTGCTTTCACCATACCATTTACAAGGATTCATAAAATATGTTTATGAAGAGCATATACTGGTTTCTTATGCCAAACACATTAAGCCTACTGGCACTTGTGAGGGAAAGGCTGTTTTTTGGAGGGGAGTTATCTTTGCTGTCTGTCTCAAGCAGCGTTGCTGCAGCCATGCGGAGGGTCAGAGCCAGCCCTTGTTTGGAAAGAAAACTTCATTGAAACCATGTGCAAGCTTCTCAAACGCTCGTACACATAGTTAAGTGCACAGAAAAGCCAAAAGTGAGAGTCCCACACTGTGCACAACAGACATAGCCGCCTCAAGAAAATAAATAGGAAACCACACAGAAACATAAAAGGAGCTAAATATCAACTGGCTATAGAAGCTCAAGTTCTTATCTCCCTGATCAAGAAAACATAATGCCCACAACAGAAACAGAGCTGCATCTCTCCTGACTTAAAGTGCTGGCTGCTAGCAGGGCATGCAAAGAAGGGTCCTCCACAAAGTAGCTCATAAGTTTTGCACCAAACAGTGGAAAATATTTTGGGAAGAGAATCAACGGTGCTTATGGAAACAGCCTTCACCATATCATGAAGAAAACTGCCAACATTCTAGCCTCGTCGTTACAGAACTGAATTACTGATACTTTCTTTTATCCCATTGTTGTCATGCATAGAAAAAATAAATATGTCGTTCCTTTCCAGAACAGTAACTATTCCTTTTCTTTGATTTTCTGTGGGCCATCAATCCTAGAGGTGCATTTGCCTTTCCCCATTATAAAGAATGACACAGCAAGCATGACTGATCAATGCTAACAGGAAGAAAAATAACAGGGTTATTGAGGAATTAATGATTAGCTCCACCCAGCATGAACCATTATTTTATAGGCTTTCTGATAAAGCATTTGGATAACTAAAAGAGGAAATAGAGGCTCTGATGTGTGGCAAAACTACGGCAAATAAATCCTGTTACTGCTCTAAATTTCAGCCACATGGCCCAATGTGTACACCAGGCTTAAATTTAGTTCCATGCATCTATCGCAGCAAAATCACCATATTCTTGAAAGTGCATCTCTGAGGACGCAGACAGGCTAATCTATATTTTTATTTAAAGCCACTGTGTGATCTTGCAGCCTAGTCAAAAAGAGAGATTCTCTAGAAGTTCTTTTAGCTACTCTCCCAATAAATTGCCTACCCTCTGAAAGAGAAAAGAGAGGAGGATTCTCTCCCCTTATTGCTACATGAAAGACAGGCATAGGCAAGGAACATGAATTCATGTCTCTCTAGTTTGTGAACTTTCTATATAGAGAAAATGTCTTCCTCAAATTTCTTTTAGTTATTATAATCATTAGCATATTTGCATGCAAGCAAGAGGCAAAAAGTCCAAAGTGCTATTTCAGATAGTGCCCTCTGCATTTCACATATGTTCCCTTTAAAAAAAAATGCTCTCGCTGAACCGAATCTCCATAGCGCAGCTTGCCTGAGGTGTAAAGTCTGTCACTCCCTTCTCACTGAATTATTTACTTGCACACCTTCGCCGTTAGAGGGCTGATCCCAGGTGTGGGTGCTGTGAGACTTGCAGCTCCAAGCACCTCACAACCCACCGAATTCCTGGCAGAAAATCGCCGGGCAGCACCCACCCAACACAATCAGCCCAGTGTCCTCACAAAGAAAATCTGCTGGGGTCGGGCACCAAAACATGGACCACTGGAAAAGCCTTCAGAACCGAAAGTTCATGTAACACAACGGAGAAAAATGGGAGACAGAGAAATATTGGATGCAGCTTATGGACGTAGACCTGTGGCTTATCTATGGTGATAGCAGCACCCTTCAGAGGGCCAGGAGAAAGTTGGTTGATTGCACACAAGTCTCAGAGGAAAAACAAGGCAGAGCAGTGGCAAAGGAGTGAAAGGAGAACCCATCACGGGAAATGGCAACTGAATGTGAAGAATGACAGTTACTTTTTATGGGAAATGTGAGGAAAACAAAGAGACAAGGCAGCTCTGTGGGAGCAAGGAAAGAAATGAAAGGAGAAAAAAAAAAAGTAAGGATAGACAAAAACCCAGACTCTCTGCAAGAAGTCCCCTGGCTGAAGCAGTAACTTCTGTTTGTTTAAAAGGACATTCTCTCCTTTACAGACTCTTTGGCCTATGCTCTTCCTTTGCAATACAGAGGGCCACTGCCCTCGCTGACGCCAGCGCTGGAGGTTACTCAGGAGAACTGTGCAGCAGAACAAAGCTCCAGCGTGGCTCAGGGCACTTGTTCTGCTGAGCCCAGCAAAGGCTGTTTGGTCCAGCTGCCAGCAGGGATCAAGGAGAAGCAAGGTGATGGGCGAAGCTGAGGAAGAGACAAACTCTTCCAGCTACCTCCTCCACGCTGAAGCTCTCAACTTTCCCTGGTTTCTGAAAGATTACAGCACTGAAATACCTCTGTGAGGAAGTCAGTAACTTTTTAGCACTGAAAATCCTGGTAAGAACTGAAGACTGGGCAAACTCTAAGCTAACACCATCTCCCCAAAGCAAGGGGAAGTGACTGCAGCCTGAAAAATCAGCCCTTCGGCTCCCAGGGATAACAGAAGTGAAACAGCTGTTTCCTTATCACACATTTGTACAGACTGTACGTATGGGCAGCTAGCCGTTCAGAAGTCCCTACAGGTTTGAAACGTATGAGATTTTAGGTGTCCCATTTTAAGTTGTTGTCAATTTGATTACCAAAAGGTCGTTGAAGCTTCCAGCAACCTCAGTGACAGCCAGGATTAGTCAGCACTGCTGAAAATAGGCTCCTCACTGCCTTGAAGCAGACACCCACAAATAGAAATACCTGCAAAATCAGAGGCCCTTGAATCCTTTGCACTTAAAGACAATTAGCTCAGGAAACCCAGACCTGGTTTTGCTCTACATCTGTAAAGCCCAGAGAGTCCGTTGGGTGTTACATCTACATGAACACTGAAACCTTTTGACAGATGCTATGTTCTTTCTCTAGGTATCAGTGTTTTGAGAGCTCACGAAGGTGCTGTGAGGTTTGATTATTTAGCACTGACATGGCAGCTGCAAACGGCAGCTCTACAAACTTGTGACTGTTCCCTGAAGCACTTGTTTACAGACTGGAACGGAAGCATTGTTTGCAGACTGCAATCAAGGAAAGACTTGAATGTTTATTGTGAGCAACAAATTCTGAAACAATAAAATGAGTTCTATTTCCTTCAAAAAGGGTGCTAGGAAATTCAAAGCAAAGAAGATGTAAAAAGAATGCTTAAATCCAGTCTGCCATTCACTGCAACCCGTCAAGATTCCTGGTACTCGTAGTGCTTGCAGATATTTACAGAACATCAACCTCAGAAAGTCTGCTCTTGTAATATTTACCCTGGGCTCTAAATTTGAACAGGGAAGCCTGCCATTAAACATCTGTAAATGAGGCCAGTAAATCTTAAATGAGTCCAACGCTTGGGGTGAAAAACATCAAGAGCCTCAACATGGAAGTGCCCAAAATCATTTTTAAAATGTAAGGCCATGCAGTGTTCAAGCAGTTCCAAACCCCAATTTTGATGCTCTCCATTCCCATTTAATGCCATGGCAATGAAAGACAATAGCACCATGAAAGCAGCACTGCCTGGGATCCAGTAACACCTGTGTTGCAATAGCTTCTCTCTCTCTTTCACATTAACTTGTTTCTCTTTGTTTCCCGGCAGGGTGCTAAAATATCTACTTGCAGTCAAGCACCTGAGACAGGCTACTTTCTGCACTGACACACCAGAAACCAACCTGGGCTGAGTGGGTAGATGTCATTGTCGGCCCCAAAGAAGAGATTGCGTGTCAGCTTGCGAGGATCGACCTTCTGAGGGGTGGACGAGGCCGGACAGAGGGAGAACCTGCGCCGAAGAAAGTTCTCCTCCTTCATGGCATGAGCTGTGGGGGTTTTCTGAAAAGGAAAGATAGAAATAACAGTTCATCTCAAGACACAGGAAATCAGTTTCACACCCAGATGACTCCGCTGCTTCAAAGCCACCTAATCCTATGTAGCGTGCCGGATCTTTTTATAGAGTGCCAGAAGGCTATGCAGAAAAAAAAAAAAAATAAATATATTACTTTGAAGCTACAATTACTGATTTGCTGACTCTCAGTATTTACAAACTGCAAGGAAGCAGGACACTGTTCCTTGGTGAATCCATGCGGTATAACACCCTCCTACCTGCAAGATTCTATCTATGATAATAGCTACTTACTGGGTCTATCCAGTGCACAGTGGCTAACTTGCTTTTTTTTAAGCTTTTGGAGTCTCTTTCATACATGTAACTCCATTGCTGTCGGCAGAGTTACACCATCTCCACAAAAATCAACATTTAAGCTGAGCTGCATAGAGGAAGACGAGCTGCATTGGCTGCAGAGAGCAACAAGCGGGGATAAAGCCAGTGTCACTCCTGCCCTTATTTCCAATTACAGCACATATAAATAATTTTGGTTTTCTTTAAAATAGCATTTAGATCAGCCTTGCAGCTTGATCAGTAAGACAAACCTTGCTGCTCCGTGAGCGTAAAGAACAGCATTTGCCTCCCCAAAAGCCTCCCTGATTCCCGTACAAGAGCCTGGTGGTACTGTGCTCTTTACCACCACTTGGCTAACACATTAGACTATCCTGGCTGGAATTAAAGGTTTCTTTTATACCCATCCAACAAGCAGTTCTTTCTTACCCATTACAAACAGATATTATGAGTGTCTCCTTCCTGAGTTACAAGCTTTATTCTCTCCCCACGTGCAGCCAGAGGCAGGGTTCTGGCTAGCAGAAAGAAGCATTAACCCAGCCTTTGGGTGGGCATTACAGACTACAAGTTCTGCTGCTTCTCTGGAGGACAGTTACTGCAGTAAGAAACACCCTTTAGGATAGTACATGCTTTCTGAAAAGAGCCTCCAAATTTTCCCATCTCTTTTAGGCTACTGGGAAAGCAAAGGGGAAAAAGTTTCCTGGAGACGCAGTGCAGTTCAGGAAGGCAGGACCAGCATCCCTGTAAGGTGATCTGTGTGGCACTAGGTGGAAAACGGGCTGATTAAGGGCTAGAACACCCTGCCCTGCCCTTCCTGCTCCCAGTACCACCCCAGCGCTTGCGCCGGCCCAAACACCCCAATTTCATGAGGAACCCTCAGCAGCCTCTGGGAGCTCAGCCTTCGCAGCTGAGACACCGCATGGCGGGGTGCCACGAACGTGTCCCAGTGTGAGAAACTCCCCTCCTGTGTTTCATCTGAGCTCTGTCCCTCCACCTGCCCCGCTAATCCCTGTAGAAGGCAGTCCCAATGTTTCAGGTTTTTTCATTTATTTACACAGCAGGCTAAGCTAGCTGTGATTTCTAAGGTGAGATAGAATCTGCTCCTTCTTTCCCGCGACAGACAGCCTCAGTGCCCAAGAGCTTAATTTGATCTAAACCAGTCTGGACTCCAACAATAAGCACGGGTCACCAAAACCACTTTGAGCAGCAGATGTTTCTGAACCCAGCTCAACACGCCGGGATGGGCGAGCCACCAGATGCGAGGGTCTGCAACATCCAAAAAGGGGCTAATTAAAAAGTCTCAAAAATGGGACTCCCTCAGACCACACAGCTGCAATTTGACAGGGATGCATGTCCCTTGCTGGGCCTGTGTCATCCGCGAAGGATGAATTACGGTCTGTGCAGTGCTGTGAGGACACAACATTCCCTAAAAGCCCTGTGTGTTATGACGTCCCACCCAGTAAAGTGGTTGTAATACACCAGAGAATCAGCAACAGCGTTTCACCATAACCACTTCACGTAACTCTCGGTGAAAGGCTTTTATCGGAGCGCCGGGACACTGCGCGCTGGAAGGGGCTGCTGAGGATGGACCCTCTGCACGGCGCCTCGCACGAGTCTGTGTTTCAGGCTGACGACGTGTGACGACAGCCAAGTGAAATGAGATGGCTGCAGTGCTTTCCACTTGCTGCTGCCCTACCACCTGTCAATTCAGCTGCCCGGAAAACTGCCCTGACAACACACATCCGGGCTCAAAAGTCCCCAAGTTCCCATCGCAGCCAGTGGCATCTCTGAAGCAGCAGGTAATAGAATCATAGAATCATAGAATGGTTCGGGTTGGAAGGGACCTCAAAGATCATCTAGTTCCAACCCCCCTGCCATGGGCAGGGAAATCCTCCACTACCCCAGGTGGCCCAAAGATCCACTACACCAGGTTGCCCAAAGACTCATCTAACCTGGCCTTGAACACTGCCAGGGATGGGGCATCCACAACTTATCTGGGCAACCTGTTCCAGTACCTCACCACCCTCAACGTAAAGAATTTCTTTCTTATATCTAACCTAAATCTGCCCTCTTTCAGTTTAAATCCATTGCCCCTTGTCCTATCACTACATGCCCTTGTAAAAAATCCTTCTCCAGCTTTCCTGTAGGCCCCCTTTAGGTACTGGAAAGCTGCTAGAAGATCACCCCGGAGCCTTCTCTTCTCCAGGCTGAACAGCCTCAACTCTCTCAGCCTGTCTTCATAGTAGAGGGGCTCCAGCCCTCAGATCATCTCCGTGGCCCTCCTCTGGACTTGTTCCAGTAGCTCCATGTCCTTCTTGTGTTGGGGACTCCAAGCTGAACACAGTACTGCAGGTGGGGTCTCACGAGAGCAGAGTAGAGGGGCAGAATCACTTCCCTCGACCTGCTGGCCACGCTCCTTTTGATGCAGCCCAGGATACGGTTGGCTTTCTGGGCTGCCAGCGCACATTGCCGGCTCATGTTGAGCTTCTCATCCACCAAAGGATGTAACTTAGCTACCTAACATTTAGCCATGTAAATAATCCTTTTTTTGCATGGATACTCTTGATTGCATACAGCTGGGTGGGGAGAAGATGCAAAATTAAAGCTAACTTTAAAAAAGAAGAGACAGAGAGGGAGAACGCAGCTAGTTACGTGTCTGAAAGCAAAATAGTTAAAAATAATCCAGGTCTAAACAGCTGGGTTTGGAATGCTAACACTGAGCTATTTTCTGCCTTTGTTCCCAGAAAGGCCATCTCAACTCTCCACCTTTGGAACTGCTCATAAGTGGCTCGGAGCAAAACCAGATCTGTGGGATACTCCCCCAAAAAGCAGTGACCTAGCAAGGCCGAGCCGATCATGCAGGAAGGCATTCAGAAATTCCAGGTCCATCCAGTGCCAAGCAGGCTGGGGAACAAGGTACAAACATAAAACATCTGTCCACCAGGCTCTTATGCCCTGCTCTCATGGTGAAGACTATTCTTAACAGGGTAACAAAAAGGCTGCATTCAACATAGAATCACAGAATGGTTTGGGCTGAAAGGGGCCTTAAAGGTCATCTAGTTCCAACCCCACTGCCATGGGCAGGGACACCTTCCACTACACCAGGTTGCCTAAAGACTCATCCAACCTGGCCTTGAACACTTTCAGGGATGGGGCAGCCACAACTTTGGGCAACTTGTTCCAGTGCCTCACCACCCTCACAGTAAAGAATTTCTTCCTTATATCTAACCAAAATCTCCCCTCTTTCAGTCTAAAGCCATTATCCCTTGCCCTATCATTACACACCCTTGCAAAAAGTCCCTCTCCAGATTTCTTGTAGGCCCCCTTTAAGTACTGGAACACTGCTATAAGGTCTTCTTGGAGCCTTCTCTTCTCCAGGCTGAACAATCCCAACTGTCTCAGCCTGTCTTCATAGCAGAGGTGTTCCAGCCCTTTGATTATCTTCGTGGCCCTCCTCTGGACCCACTCCAACAACCCCATGTCCTTTTTATGTTGGGGGCCTCAGACCTGAATGTAGTACTGCAGGTGAGGTCTCACGAGAGCAGAGTAGAGGGGCAGAATCACCTCCCTCGACCTGCTGGCCACGCTGCTTTGGATGCAGCCCAGGATACGGTTGGCTTTCTGGGCTGTAAGCGCACATTGCCAGCACACATTGAATATCGTCAGGTCAGCATCATTTTGTCTCAGCAATACCACGAGCCACATCAGTGGCGAACTTCCACCCAGCTCACACTGATGTTGATGGCAAAATCCTCCAGACACTGGAGCAAGAGCAGGCTGTATACCGGGTCGGACATACCAGGACACATTTTCTTTCAACTGCAGGTATATTTACTATGCAGAGAGATCGATGCTCCAATGTTTCCCTCACCTATTATTTCACGCTATTCAACCACAGAATAATTGACAGGATTATTGTGCTGATGCTCTCTCATTCCCACACTTATTTAAGCTTTACGGCAAGAAATATGGACACACTGTTCAGCTGGGAACAGTCACTGGGCAATTACAAAGGAAAAGACTCTTCCCAAGTCCACATTTTGCTCTCACTCTTCTCTTACACATGTTAATATAAGCTTGTGGCAGCAGCTCATCTCTTTCTGAACACAAAGATCAATTTAAGTAAGTTCCTCTTAACTGGGTCCTTGCTGGCAGAAGACCTCCAGTGACTGAAGCTCCCTGAGAAGCAGCAGCGGCGATACATCTGTCAGACACACATACAACCATGAAACATGCCATGTCATCAACATCCCAGCCTTTTTCTCAAAGATCATCTAACATTGCATTGCTCCAGTTCACGGGTACAGATCTTTCCTACATTTGACCCTCATCCAGATAGGCTCTTATGCCATCCACATTTTCGTGGGCTTCACTCCAACTAGAAGCTGACAGCAGCAGAGCCTCTTGTTCAGTGCACTATATGGTGTGCGTGCAGTTCAACTTATTTTTCCTTTATTTTGGGTAAAAGAGAAAAATTGTTGGCCTGCAGTTCATTCCCTGAGATTGCACCATCTTAGGTTACCATGACTTTTTTTCCGAGAAAGGCTAAGATGGACAGACTCAGCCTACAAGATTTTACCTCGTTATGCAGTGCAAAGTGCAGCACAAAATCATACAAAATTACTTTTATTTTTGCATTTTAGGGCTTTTTTATACA